ATGTCAGAGCTGGGAGGGCCCTTAGAACGTGGAATGTCAGTGATGGAAGAGACCTCAGAACTTGGAATGTCAGAGCCGGGAGGGCCCTTACAACACGGAATATCAGAGCTGGGAGGGCCCTTAGAACGTGGAATGTCAGTGATGGAAGAGACCTCAGAACTTGGAATGTCAGAGCTGGGAGGGACATCAGAACATGGAATGTCAGAGCTGGGAAGGACCTCAGAACACGGAATGTCAGAGCTGGGAGGGACCTCAGAACATGGAATATCAGTGATAGAAGAGACCTCAGAACTTGGAATGTCAGAGCTGGGAGGGTCCTTAGAACATGGAATGTCAGAGCTGGGAGGGCCCTTAGAACATGGAATATCAGAGCTGGGAGGGCCCTTAGAACGTGGAATGTCAGTGATGGAAGAGACCTCAGAACTTGGAATGTCAGAGCTGAGGGATTTTAGGACAGAGAGTGTAAGAACTGGGAGAGATTACAAAACACTTTGTCAGAGTTGGGAGGGCCCTTGGAACCCAAAATGTCAGAGCTGGGAGGGCCTTTGGAACACAGGATGTCAAAGCTGGGAAGGATCTCAGGACATAAAATGTCAGAAATGGAGGAAACTAACATAGAGAAAATCAGAGCTAGGACTTCAAAATATAGAATGGGTGAGGATCTTGTTCAGCTCCATTTCCACCAGAGCTTTGGTCCTCAATGTTTTGCCACCTTGCTTTTAGCCCAGTTCCCACACGCTCCCCTCTTCTGTTATTAGAAAGCCTTTGGGGCTTTCCCCGGGGATTCTCAGAAACGAGATGCTGGGTTCTTCCCCAGGCCTCTGCATGGAGCCACTCAGGCTCAGATGGTGCCTCCTCCTCACGAGCCCTCGGGGGAGGGGGGGCGGGGTGTAAGGAGAGACTGTTCCCCTCTGAGGCGGTGGCTCTGTTCCTGTCTGGGATTCTTTCTGTCTCCCGGGTGACTGCTGAGGATCTGGGTGACAGAGGCAGGGGCGGGGGGCAGGAGGACCACTGATAAGGGAATACAGAAGGCTGCCGCCCGCTCTCTGCGAACATGCAAACTCACGGGCAAAGCCACTCAATAACCAGAGGGGCTCAGGTCCTCTGGAGGGACCAGGAACAGCATCTGGAGTCACAGGACGCGAGTTTGAATCCAGACTGCACTGTTCTTTATGTGCTTAACTAAGACATGAACCCATTCCCAGTCTCATTTTCCTTCTCTGAAAAGGGGGTGGCCCAGATGTTTCCCCAGGTCTCTTCTGTGCTGTGATTCTACAGCTCGCAGAGGCCTTGAAGTCAGAGACCTGGGTTCAAATCTTGCTGAGACACCTAGTAGCTGTGGGACCACAGCTAGGTTCCCTGACTTCTCAAACGGGGACAACACATGCTTGTGGCTCTTTGTGGCAGGGCTGCTCATGCAGATTAAGGTGAGGTAAGCTATGACAAACACTTCTGTGACTCTCGGAGAACAATTCAGGTCCCTCTGCTTTCGGCAGCAGTCAGACCACAGCGAAGGGGAGTCTTGTCTCCAGGAGCAGCCCACAGGCTGGGGCAATCTGGCAGCTCTCTGCCCCAAACATCGGGAATTTCCTCATTAGGGATTCAGGCCTTTTGGTCAAGCATTGTCTTTTCCAGGGTCCTTCTCTGCCATGTAAATGACTCTGGAAGGGACAGCAGACCTTGAGGGTCTGACCTAGCTGAGAGGGTCGTGTCTACCCAGATCCAGACAGAAGAGGGTTTGGCTTGAACAGAGGGCAGGCTAAGACGGTGGGGGCTGAACACGGTGACGTGCATGAGTCACTGGACACAGAGGGTCAGAGCTGGGAGAGCCCTTAGAACATGAAATGTCAGAGCTAGGAGGGCCCTTAGAACACAGAATGTCAGAACTGGAAGGTGCCTTAGAACACAAGATGTCAGAACTGGAAGGTGCCTTAGAACACAGAATGCCAGAACTGGAAGGTGCCTCAGAACACAGGATGCCAGAACTGGAAGGTGCCTTGGAACACAGGATGTCAGAACTGGGAGGTGCCTTGGAACATAGGATGTGAGAACTGGGAGGTGCCTTAGAACACAGGATGTCAGAACTGGGAGGTGCCTTAGAACACAGGACGTCAGAACTGGGAGGTGCCTTAGAACACAGGACGTCAGAACTGGGAGGTGCCTTAGAATACAATGTCAGAACTAGGAGGTGCCTTAGAACACCGAATGCCAGAGCTGGGAGGGCCCTTAGAACACAGGATGTCAGAGATGGGAGGGCCCTTAGAACACAGGATGTCAGAGCTGGGAGGGCCCTTAGAACACAGGACGTCAAAGCTGAGAGGGCCCTTAGAACACAGGATGTCAGAGCTGGGAGGGCCTTTAGAACACAGAATGTCAGAGCTGAGAAGTCCCTTAGAACCAAGAATGTTAATGCTGGGAGGGAGACCTTAGAACACAGGATATCAGAGCTGGAAGGGGCCTTAACACACAGAAAGTTAGAACAGGGAGGGCCCTTAGAACACAGAATGTCAGATCTAGAAGGTGCCTTAGAACACAGAATGTCAGAGCTGGGAGGGACCTTAGAACACAAGGTGTCAGTGGGAGGGTCCTTAGAACACAAGATGATAGAGCTGGGAGGGGCCTTAGAACACACAATGTCAGAGCTGGGAGGGCCTTTAGAACATGGGATGTCAGAGCTGGGAGGGCCTTTAGAATACATGATGTTAGAGCTGGGAGGGCCCTTAGAATACAGGATGTCAGAGCTGGAAGGTGCCTTAGAACACAGAATGTCAGAACTGGAAGGTGCCTTAGAACACAGGATGTCAGAGCTGGGAGGGCCCTTAGGACAGAGTGTCAGAGCTGAGGGGTTCCTTAGAACCAAGAATATTGATGCTGGGAGGAAGACCTTAGAACACAGAATGTCAGAACTGGGAGGGCTCTTAGAACACAGAATGTCAGAGCTAAGAGAGAGCCCTCAGCTATCAAGTTCATTCGACTTATTTCATAAATGAGAAAACTGCGGCCCAGAGAAGGTCTGAGGTCACCCGGGTGGCTGAGGCTGCTGCCCATGTGGCCGCCTCTTCTAAGACACCTTGGCTGGGCCTCGTGGGGATGGGGGAGCAGGGGTGTGTAAGGAATCCACCTCCCTCCTCTCTGAGAAGCTGGGACCCTTTGAGACTCTCCACAGGGCAGGGGCATCTGTGTGGGAAGTGTGATAGGCAATAGAAAAAAGAAATCGTGGAAAATAAAACCTTCCTTGGCCGCAGCTCCGTGTATTTCTAGATCTTTATTTTCTCCCACCCATTGTCAAAAACTCCTCAGAAGCTTCAGGTCCAAGACAGAGGGCTCCTCTTCCCCTCCACCCTCCTCCTTCTGTCTGCAGTGAGGATGGATGGGGTTGTGCGGCCTGCAACACAGGCTGGGGAGATTCCTGGAGCGAGGCCTCATGCTGCGTCACTGCCCCAGAGCCTGCCCTCCCCCTGCCCCATCTCGCTGGTCCCCTTCAAGACAAGTCTCTGGCTTGAAACCTGCCTACTCTTGGAGACTGAGGCCCCGGACTACTGAAGCTGGAACCTAGAGTGACTACGGACACTGCTCAAAGGCACACGGCCCAGTGGGAAGTGTTGGGGGGTGAGGAAGGCCTGGGAACGTTGCTCATGGCCGGTCAGGGCCAACAAGGATTTGAAGACCACCTAGTCTAGTCCTTTTTTTTGTTTAAGATGAGAAAAAAAAAAAAGACAAGACCCAGAGAGAATAAGCCCTGGTGATATGAACCACGTTTTACACTGGTAGAGAGGATCAGTGAGCAGAGAGCTGGACCTTGGCAGTCAGGAAGACGAGTTCAAATCCTTCCCCAGGAATTCACAGCTGCCTGCTTCAGTTTCCCCTTCTGTGAAATGGGGATAATAACCACACCTACTTCCCAGAGCTGTTGTGAGGATCAAATAATAAAGCTCTTAGTGCAGAGCCTAGCACACAGTAGGTGCTATATAAATATTAGCTCCTATTAATAATAGTAAAGCATGTTGCAAACCGGAAAGGAAGTTACTATTGTCAGTGCTTTTAAAGTACTTTGTTTTATTTCTAAGTTTTGCTGATGCCTCCGGTTTTCAGACGACATTCATTGCAGGACATATGGCCTTATCCCCAGTCCACCCTTCTAACAGAAAAACAGCGATACAAAACCAAACCCATGCCCTCAGCTGACCGCACATGCGGAGCTCGGCACCCGTCGCCCCCCCACCTCTCTGTGCCGGAGGGAGGCACAACTCCAGAGGCCTTTAATTTTCCACTCTCACACGGATGCTCCTCAGGCAGACCAACCTCCTCATTTTACTGATGAGGAAACTGAAACCCAGAGAAGTTAAGAGAGTTACCCAAGGTCATAAGAGGCAGGATTTGAACTCTGATCCTTTGAGTCCAGCGGTCTTTTTCTCCCTACCACATAGTACTCACTGCCTCTTCAGAACTCAGATTGCTCTGTCACCTTCTCTTACCCTCACCTAGCAGTGAAGATTGTGTGACCTGCCTAGGGTCACACAGGTAGTAAATGGCATGGGGAGATTTGAACCCAGCACCGCTGACTCTGGAGCAGATACTTTTCGCACCAAGCATGCTGGCTGCTTCCTTGTTCCTTTCATTTCCCATTCCCTCATTATTTCTGGGCCCACAGAGAAAACTAAGGCCCAGAAGGGGAAAAAGGCACTCCAGCCCATCCAGAAAGTTAGTGGCGTAGCCAAGATGCCAACAGACATCCCCCCCTTCTGGAAGTGCCTTCCACCAATGAGACCCCGGATGCAGTGTTGGTCCCTCTCCCTGTGGCCTCCCGGGCTGGGGGGCCGCTCTGCCCTGTCCACCAGCAGAGTGGTGCTGAAAGCACCCTGCAGGGCAGATGGCTGAGAAGGAGGCAGTGTGCAGGAGCCCCTGGGCTTGGCTGCCAGGCTCGGGCTCCCTCCCTGCGGGCCTCCCCCTCCTCCCCGGCCCCATCAGGAAAGGCACCAGCGGTACCTGGAAGCACTTACTTCTTGGCTCTCGAGGCCCATCCACGGTCACCTTGATGGCTCGGTGGTAGGTGGCCACTTGGGTGGGGTTGGTAAACACGGTGATGGTCAGCGTGAAGCTCTTCCCTGGGGGTGACAAAAGGTGGGGGGAGGGACAGATGAGATCAGGGAAAGGTGGTAGAGGAGTGAAGCTGGGGGCTGGATGGAGGTCGAAGTGCAAGCTGCCAGGTCAGGGGTTGGAGCTTCTGTGGTGGGAAACAACAGTCAGAGTCGTCCTGGGGACCCGTCCCCACCCGGCTACCAAACCCTGACTGCGGCCCCCTCTCTCTGACCCTGCCAGAGGGGACAGGAAACTGCTGGGGACAAGAGGGAATTTATGGGGCAAGTGGGGATTGCCCTGGGCAACCCAGGAGTGAGACCAGGATCACACTGTAGTGCTAGGGGGGGGGTCACACAGGGAGTGACAGAGACAGCAACCCAACACAGATCCTATGACTCTCTCTACCACCTACAGCTGCCTCCTGAATTCAGGCACCTTCTCCTCCTCCTATCCTCATCCAGCCCCTGGCCAGAGTGCAGGAGATCAGGCTCTAGTCCTGCTTCTGCTGATAACAGACCAGATGGTCACCGAGGGGTCACCTATCCCCTCTGGCCTCAATTTCCTCCTCTGTAAAATGATGGCCCTGGACTAGATTATCCCTTCCAGTTCTAATATGATTAATGGAGCAGACGTAATCGTAGGATGTTCTGAGTTCCCTCCCAGCTCTGACATTCCCTGTTCTAAGCTCCCTCCCAGCTCTGACACCCTGCACTCTAAGCTCCCTCCCAGCCCTGACATTCTCTGTTCTAAGCTCCCTCCCAGCTCTGACATTCTCTGTTCTAAGCTCCCTCCCAGCTCTGACATTCTCTGTTCTAAGCTCCTTCCCAGCTCTGACACCCTGCACTCTAAGCTCCCTCCCAGCCCTGACATTCTCTGTTCTAAGCTCCTTCCCAGCTCTGACACCCTGCACTCTAAGCTCCCTCCCAGCCCTGACATTCTCTGTTCTAAGGTCCCTCCTTAGCTCTGACAGTCTGTGTTCTAAACTTCCTCCCAGCTCTAACATTTTCTGTTCTACTGCCCTCCCAGCTCTGACATTCCGTGTTCTAGGTGCCCTCCCAGCTGTAAGATTATAACCTAACTGTCCTCAAACTAGTTGATATGAATGCCCTGGATCGAGTGCCCTTATTCTGTAGCCACAGCCCTTCTCTTCCCACTTCTCTAGCCTGGCATCCCAGGCCCCGGCCTAACCCTGTCTCCTTATCTCTCATTCCTTCCCTATATGGCCCTTTAGCGAGAGTGATTCACAGTCTCCCAAAACCCAACCTGAAGTCCCCTGCCTCTGTATCTCAGTTCACACTTTCCCTTCTGCTTGTTAAAGAGTCTGTTCATCTTTCCAGGCCCAGCTCAAATTCCCCTACCTCTAAGGACAACCCCCAGCTCACAGCCATCTGTCCTTCCTCTGAACTCCTAAGGCATTTGGTCCATACTGCCTGACTTAGTAACTTATCTGGGTGCACGCAGGTCCAGCCTGGCTGGACTGTGACCTGCCTGAGGGCTGGACCCTAGTCCTCTTTATCTCCCATGCGGAGAAGAACCCAGGGCAAACAAGGAATGGTCAGTTTGGTAACTGGCAATGTCAATCCCGGAATTTCACAGAACCTTGGAACCTTAGAACACGTGATGCCAGAGCCGGGAGGGCCCTCAGAGCACAGAACATCAGAAATGGGAGGAATCTTAGAACAGAGAACGTCAGAACTGGAAAGCACCTTAGAACAGAGAGTTTCAGACCTGAAAAAGACCCTAGAACATGGAACGTCGGAGCTGAGAGGAGCTCAGAACATAAAATGCTGCAGCCAGGAAAGACCGTCAAGGAGAAGTGACTTGGCTATGACCGGTAGTGGCAGGGTCCCCATCAGAACCCATTACTACTTGAGTCTTAAATCCAGCGCTAAGCACACTTCCTCACCCTAAGCAAAGATACCTGGGGATGAAACCCCTGCACCCCCAGGAGGGCAAAGCCAGATGTTACCTGCTGCCTTATAGTCAGAATCAGTTCTATGAGTCAGCTAACCCAGACTCCTGGGCACTAGCCTTCAATGCCTTTGCTAACCCAGTTCTTGCTAAGGCCTCCAGTGGACGGCAGCCCTTCCCTATCACACAGGTCCAGAGTACTCAGGAAGTTCCTACTATGTGCCGGACACTGTGCAAAGTGCTTTACAAATATTATCCTAACTGAGCCTCACAACTCTGGGAGGTAGGTGCTATTTCTATCACCCCCATTTTACAGTTCAGGAAACTGAGGCTGAGAGAGTAAGTGACTTTCCCACTTGGGGAGGACCTAGAAGGTCACATAGCTAAGTGTCTGAGGGTAGATTTGAACTTGGGTCTTCCTGACTGAGAAGAGAGGCCCGGGGCTCTGTGCACTATGGTGCCCCCTAGGAGACTTGGTCTGGCTTCCCAGTGCCTTCCCACACCCACTGCAGGCAGAATTATACAGATCGTGCTAGATTTCCACAGACACCCACGCCATGTAGACAATGAATGTTTTTTTAACCCCCTTAGATGGTGGTACCCTGGACTTTCTATAACTAGTAGGTGCCTACTGTAAGGCAGGCCTGTGAAATGCATAACAGAAAGTCAAGTCTAATTCAGGACAGCAAGGTACGAAGAGATTAGCTTGAAGTTACAGTAACTAAACCACAATACCACGGTGAAAACTCCAGGGTCCTGAATTTTTAACCAATTAGAAAGCCTAAGGAGCTATCATTTATGATTTTTCTCAAATACAAATGTTTAGTACACTTGAAAAAAGGCCCTAGGCTGTCTCATTGATGACTTGGGCTGAGTGGGCTAAGGCCAGGGAGGAAAAGCGAATGCAATCTTTCCCCCAAACTCATATGGGTAGAAAGTAGAAAACTGAAGATGGCAGACCAAACACGATTGAAAATATAAGTTAGAAGTGTCTCTGAGAGAGAGAGAGAGAAGAAAGAAAAGGGGGAGGGGGGGGGAGAGAGAGAGAGATCAGAGAGAGTGCATTCCCGTCACACTGGCAAAGAGAGCTACAAAATATGAAGGGACAATCTCTCACTGATTTTCACGTGTTAGGGGTGGCAGTAATCATTAGTCTCAATTGATGTCTACTCCTTTCTGGGCCTCTTGGCTAGGCTGTGAGGAAACAGGAAAGCTACTGCCAATTGGTGCCACCTTTTTGGAAAACAATCTGGTGATTTTCAATGGAAACTGTGAATCCCATTTTAACCTTTCACTCAAAGATCCTTCTGCTAGGACTAAATCCTAAGAGTATCACTGAAAGAAGAAGATGATAAAAAAAGGGGTGGGGAGATATATACACACACATATACACATATACATGGATGAATGAAAACATTTAAAATATCTTATATTTGTTACAGGAAAAAATTCTAACCAGCCTATGTATAGCTAAGATTGAGGAAGGATTGGACAAACTGTGGCCTATCGGAGGAGTGTAACAATTAGATCAGGAGGCCTCCTTGGTTATTGTCTGTTCCAGCTCCATCACTTTACAGATCAAGAAACAGAGAAAGTGTTTGCAATCACACATATATACAGAAAAGAATCATGCTCTAAAACTTCAAATTCCATGCTATTTCCGTCCATCTAATAGGATAATACTGCATCATAGGGAAAAGAAATATGAGGAATATGAAGATGAAATGACTTGACATGACTTTATATGATGCAAAATAAAGCGGGGTTAGAAAAAGCATGTATATGCTGACAATATTTTAAAAATATGATTAGGCACACAGTCAGTCAACAGGCATTTAACAAGCAGGCTAGAAACTATTCATTATATATTATATAAATATAACATACAATGTTATTATATATCATAAATATTAGAAGATAATGCTATTATATATAATATAAATATCACCGTATGTTATTGTACATAATATAAATATAAGATAAATGTTATCATATATCATGTTATAATATGATCTCATATTATATACTGATTATATAATGTTATCTATAATTATGTGATATAACAGATAATATTATATGTATCCACGTAGCATCAACTATGTGCCAGGCACTGTCCTTAGCACTTTATTTATTTATTCCATTTGATCCTCATTATAACCCTTTGAGATAGGTGTTATTGTGTTATTTTTTTCCTTTTAAGGTTGAGGAAACTGATGCAGACAGAGATTAAGTGACTTGCTCAAGGTCACACAGCTAGTAAGTACCTAAAGCCACATTTGGCCAGGCACTGTGGGATACACTCCAGATAGTTCCTGCCCTCCAGAAGGTTATAATCTAATTGGCGAGACAATATGTAAACAATACAAATGAAAAAAAAAGTCAGAAGTAGGTACAGAAAAATTAACGTTATTTTGTTTAAAATCACATATATGCATGCATGTACATATTTATATATGTATTTATATTCGTATAGATACTTGTGTGTGTGTGTGTGTGTGTGTGCCTAAGCAGCAGTGTGGTATTCTGGAGAGAGGGCTGGCCTTAGCATCAAGAAGACTTCTGACACCCACTGGTTGTGGGATCTTGTATAAATCACTTTACTTCTCAGTTCCTCGGGCAATGGTCTAACACTAACTTACAGATAAGGTGCCAATCTGCATCAGTGGAGGGGGTTTCCACAGTGGGAGTTCCCCATATTGATGAAATTCCCCAAACCCAAATATATTTACAAACATAATTGCTCCTCGTATCACACTCTAAAGAATTTGGAATTGGTGGTTTTAAGCATGATTTTTGTCCTTTGTTTGACTGATGGTTATTTTTATCATGAAAAACTGTTTTGGGTTTTTTTGAGGTTTTTTTGTTTGTTTTTAATCCAGAGGATGGAGAGAGTCTGCAAAGCATTTGTCAGTGCTACCAAGTCTAGGTCCTCATGGAAATTCAAATCTGAAATTACCCTTGAGTCCTTAGCTAGAATAAAATCAGTTTAGAAGCTGAACCTTTCCACTCTCCCTCCCCAAACCAAAAAAGGACTTCCTACAGGTTGAAAGCACAGAAGATCCCCTTCAGTGCAGCAGAGAGAGTGGTGAAGTCAAGAAGACCTGAGTTCAGATCTAGCCTCACACCTTTACTAGCTCCGGGCACGTCTGTCTGCCTCAGTTTCCTCATTTGTAACATGGGGAGAATAGCAATATCTATCTTGGAGTGTTGTGGGGATCAAATGAGATATATGTCAGGTGCTTCACAAACTTTAAAGTTCTACTGAATATTAGCTATTGTTATTCTGAAAGTTTCAGGAAAAGTCCAGGTGACTGTTTCTAATAAGAGGCACAGCGTTTGCTCCCTGGCTGCTCCATGCCCATCCTAGGCTCCTTCATTCTATCCATCCTCTCCTGTGTCTGATCAGGCTAAAGAATCTAGGGACGGAGGCAACTTCAGTTTCCATGCCCGGCCCCGATTTCCTTAAATCTGCTTCCTCTAAGAGATGTCATCCTGAACAAATGTCACCAGGCAGCAGGGCTGTCTCCCAATACATATCCTTTCTTGATGGAGAGGCGATAGTTTTTCCTACAGTCCTGGATCGCTGGTGTTCTCCTGAAAGGCCTCAATAGTTCCAGGGGATGGGGGATGGGGGCCGGGGCTTTACCTCTCTGCCGTGATGGGGAATGGGAGTTCCTTGAAGGGGAGGATTGTTTTTGTCTCCCCAGGGTCTAGCACAGAATGCAGTAGGCCCTTAATAAATGCCCATTGGCTGACTGTATGCCTTTCTCCCTGTGAATCTGACCATACGAACACCCTTCCCCATCAGTTCAGCTGGCCTGACCACCCCTCTCTTGAAGTAGGGATTCATAGCTTTAGAGACAGGTGGGCCATCCCAGAGATGACCCAGATCTTCTGCCTTCAAATCCAATGCTCATTCTGAGACACCCCCTTTCTTGTCTTTGGGCCATTTCTGCATCAGCTGGTAGCTTTGTCTCCTCGCTTCCCTGTGAGATTCCTTCATGAGGCACTGCCCATTTGCCTCACCCCTATAGAAAGGGGTGGGAAAGCCCAGGCAGGAACCCCAGGTACTGTCCTAATTGCCCTCTCGCTGGGGACAGTTGGTGAGAAGGACCACCTCCCCATCCAGGCTTTCCAGCAGAGGGCTTAGAAGCCTCACGCCCTTCTCAATTACAGACTTGTTCTCTCAAAAGGGGAGTTTCCCAATCTGTAAAATGGATCGTTCTACACATGGCTACCAGCTGCAGAGCAGGCACAAGCCATCTTTAGAGATGTCTGGCCTTCTTACTCATAGCTGTAACCCTCCACCTCTCCTACCCAACCAGACTATTTGCATCTCCTGGGATTTCCTGTTTCTCCCCCGCACTCTAAATCACATCTCAGTTCTGGAGTCAGAGAACATTAGGGCTGGAAGAGTCTTCAGAAGCCTGGGAAGCCAGGAAGCTAAGGCCCAGGGAGGGGCGGAGTAGCAGGTAGCAGGGCAGAGGCGGAAACCCAGCTTCTCACTCCTAACTTCTTCCTGGTCTAGGCGTCCTAGCCTCATAGGCTTAGGGTGGGAGGGACCTCAGAAGTCATGCGGGCCAACCGCTTCATTTTACAGATGATGAAACAGGCCCACAAAGGTCAAGGTCACAAAGCTGGCAAAGCATCATCAGCGTGATCTGACCCAGGTCTTGGGAGCCAGGAGCCAGTCACCTTTCTACTGAGCCCCAGTGCCACAGACCCCCTTAACTGGGAGCTAACGGACCCTGGCCCTTCCTTGAGCTAGCTGTCTGACCATTTCCCTCTATTTGGAAAATTTCCCTCTATATTGGGCCTCAATCTCCTCATATGTGACATAGGAATCACCATGCTTGCCCTGATTCTCTCCTGGGGCTGAGGTAAGGACGAAATGAGGTGACAAGCAAGGTGAAAGCTTTGAGACATGGAAAAAAAATTAGGAATCCATGTTTGGTCGTACCAGCAAAATATTACTCAACATCACCATCGTTTCCGTCTCGTCCCCCCTCCCCCACAGCCCCCAACAAGCTACCCTGAAGCTTTTCACCAGTCACTCACAACTAAGGGGCAGTCAAATGCATAAGGAAACTAGCTTGTCTATATTTGCTGTCTGAAGTATGGGGTGGGGGGTGGCAGGAGGGAAAGAAATTAGCAGCGGCTCCCATCAACATCAGCAGTTATGAGAATCCTCTGGGAGTGGTGTGTGTGCGTGCATGTGTGTGTGCGTGCACGCGTGTGTGTATGTGTGTGTGTGTGTGTGTGTGTGTGAGTGTGTGTGTATGTGCGTGTGTGTGAGAGTGTGTGTGTGTGTGTGTGTGCGTGTGTGTGTGTGTGTGTGTGTGAGAGTGAGAGCGTGCTCTGGGGTTAAGACTTGGGTCTGGGGTTTACAGTTTTATCAGTCCTTCCGCCCAAATAAGATCACTGGTAATGACAACTTCCTGAACTTCTGGGGGGGTTGGGAGGGGATGTCTCTGGTCTTCAGGACTTGCACCCTGCTCTGCTCCAGGGGTGTGTGTGTGTGTGTGTGGTGGGCGAGGGCAGAGATGCAAGCACCACCAGGGAACGAAGAGAAGGGGAGAGGAGGTGATTCCCGGGGATAAGGGAGGGCGGGGGGAGCTCGCGTGGGTCCTTGCTACTCGAGGCCAGGGAGGTGAGTGCAGAAGGGAAGGAGAAGAGAGGCAAGAGACTGGTGCGATTCAGGGAGAAGAGGGACAGGGCATTGATTCCTGGGTACATGGAGGAAGAGAAGCGAAGGCAATTGATATGAGAGCATATTGGGGAGAGGAAGGAGAGGCGAGAGGTTCATGGGCAGGCTAACCACTAGGAGAGGCCATTGATTTGTGGATACCAGAGGAGAGGGAGGAGATGGAAGGGGTTCAGAAGGACCTGGAGAGAGAGGAGTGATTTGTGGGTCCACCAGGAGCGGACAGAGAGGTGAGAGGCTCCTGGCCCTGAGGAGAGGAGAGAGGAGGCAGAAATAGGAAGGTCCACAGAGAGAGGGGAGCACTGAGGGCACGAGGGAGGGAGCAGAGAGGTGAGCATTTAGTGGGTACGAGGGGCAGGAGAGGGAAGCAATCTGTGGCTGCCTGGGGCAAAGGGGAGGGATGACCACTGCATGGGCACATAGGGAAGGGAGGGAGGGAGAAGTGAGGAATCTGAAGGTACGTGGAGGAAGATGAGCCCATCTGTGGGAACGCAGGAGGGGACAGACAAGTGAGCCATTTGTCTGTGTAAGGGTGAGAGGAGCAAGGAGTGATCGATCAATGGGTGAATATGTGAGAGGGGACAGATGGGGGGGCGGTGGATTTGTGGGAACATGAGAAGGGGAGGGAGAGGTGAGGGATTCATGAGTCCACCAAGGGAAGGGACAGAGAAGGGGACAATCCCCCCATGGCCCGGAGAGCCACCACTCCCTTGACACTCATCATCTCATGAGCAGACAGGACCATCAGCCTCCCTTTGCACCGTCAGGCCCAGAGACATTCAAGGGGCAGCCCCAGGCAAGGAGAAAGGTATCTTGGGGGAGGGTGTCCCTGCCCCACGCCACAGCCCCAGGCAAAAGGAGGGGTCTAGGGTGAGGGTGCCCCCACCCCACTCGTTCCCCCTGGTCTCAAACAAGGGCACCCACCAGAACCAGAGAGAGTAAATCCAGAGTCCCAGATCGGGGCTCAAATTCAGTTCCACGCGGTTTGGAAATTTGTAGATGAAAAAAATAAAAGAGCCTAACAGAATAATTTAGCGCAGCAATGAAAGCTTAATTCATAAAAGAAAACATTTTCCATCCATCAACCTGTAACCAGTTAAGGGCAGTGTTTGAAAGAAATCTGCGACCGGGAAATCAGGCCAGCAGGAACAGGAAACGTCTAAAAGAATGTAAACTATTCCAGTTTCATAAAAAGCACGAATAAACAGTTATTACATGCAAATAATGCCCTGGTTTTAATTAATGCTGAAAAGTTAAAATATGTTTGACGTTTGGATGTATACATTTGAATAGTTAAAGACGAAAAATGCAGCCCAGATGCCCGTTAAACACAAGACTGGCCCTTTCTAAGCAACGAAAGCCTTCCCCCTGTCCTTGTTTATTGGTGATGAAATGCACAATTCTGTTTACTGAGCATCAAAACCCTCACAGTTTATACAGAATCAGGGAGGGGATGGCAAAGGACACCATTGGGTTTCTTTACAGAGCCGGCTGGCTGGCAGGCAGACCCGGCCCCTTGAGGGACTGGATGGAGGGAGGGCATTCGCCCCGCTAATAATCTGCTACCATCGGCATGGAGTCCCTCGCCTCCTGCCGTCATCTGTTATCCTGCCTTGAAGTCATCTTGTGAGGCCCCGGACCCCTGCTTTCTGTTCTCCCCTACCCAAAGCCAAGGGGATGACTTAAGACCTGGGTAGGTTTCAGATCTAAACCGTCCGTCACCCACACTGAGTCTGGGTCTACACAGCCTGCCCGCAGAGGCCTCCTCACCACCTCAGAGGCCCGAGGCTTTTCACCTCCTCGGGCTGGGCCCAGACACATCATCATCCAGAGGCAGTCCCTGTCCTTGGAACATCTGTCTCTGGGGGCCCTCTCTAATCTGTCCCTTGCCCCTGGGGTGCCTCATCTGCTGGTAGCCCCCTTGCCCACCCATTCTGATGGGAAATCAAAGCAGCTGGGTTTGGAGTCAGAGGACGTGGGATTGAATCTCGTCTGTGATTCACTACCTGGGTGACTGTGGACAAATCACTGAACCTTTCTTCCGTGCCTCGGTAGTCTCAAGTATAAACTGAGGCACTGGATGAGATGACCCCTAAGGTCCTTCCCGGCTGGACAGCCTGTGGGTGTCTTCCTCCCTGGTTCTCCCAATCTCACAGCTCATCAAGGCTGCTTCCGTTTGGGGACCCTCTATGTCGTGCTTCTCTTTAACTTCACCTTGGTGTGACATCCCCCGGGCATTTTGCAGCTTCCCCACTCCCCACTCCAGCCACAACAAACCCCGATTCCTCACCTCGGCCACTCCGGCCAACGAATCGAAGGTCGTTAAATCGGGCCACCTGGTTCTTCATGACAGCCGAAGCATTACGAAGTTCAGCCGAGTAATTCTCATCATTGCCGGCCATCACCGTCACCACCGTGCCATCGGGGACATCCCCCAGGGCCACCACCTAGCGAAAGGTAGTGAGGCAGGGGAAAAGAGGAGTTTAGGTCAAACTGGAGAGGAGCCCTTAGGGGAAGGAGAGGCTCAGCCCTCAGAGTTCCCACCCGCTAATGGAAGCATCTTACAGGGGAAAAATCCCTGGACTGGCAGTCAAGGGCTCAGCCCTGCATTTATTGTTGGAGGTTAAGGTTAACCTCCAGGGGCCTTCGGTTTTATCATCTGTAAAATAAGGCAATTGGATGAGATGGTGTCTGAGATCCCTTTGAGCTAAAACGAGGGTAGTGGGCTAGGCAGTTTTTAAGGTCTCTTTATAGTGTCAATATTCTGTATTTTAAGGTCCCTTTCCAGCTCTAACATTCTTTGACCTTCGGCTTTGTGACCTTGGGCAAGTCCCCAACTCACTGTCTTCATCTATAAAATGAAGAGCTGAACCAGGTAATCTATCCTCAGGTCCCTTGCAGCTGAGACATTCTATGAAACTACCCAAGGGGCCTGATGAAGATTAAAAAAAAAATAATCTAAGATTTAAACACCCAAACCAAACACTGTTCCTCCCATCCCCTTATCTCTCCCCCCCACAACCCTATATACAACAACAAACAAAAACAGGAGAAACAAAACAAAGGATGGGGGAAGGGGCAAAAAACCCAATACATTAGATCAATCAAGGGCAAGTTATTTTCACAATACTAAGCCTCAGTTTCCTCACTGGTCCAAAAAAAAAAAAAGGGTGTGTGTGGGGGGTACAATATTCACACTGATCAACCTCATAAGGTTGTGGAAGAAAAGTATTTTTATCAGTTGCAAAACGTTGTATCTATCTGTCTGTCTCTCTATATGAGAGCCAACTTGCAGCTGGGTCCTTACTTCGCTAAGCTTGGCTCGTGAAGAATTAGGACACTGTCCACATTTCTGGACAAAAGACAAAGGGGAAATAAAGACAAAAAAACCCAACAATACAGCCAATAACAAAGAAACTCAATAGCTAATTTTTAAAATGTCCTCCTTAGCACCGTTAAGGCGAAGGAGCAAATGCCGGGTAGGTTCATTCTGTGACCCCAGAACTCCAACCACAGTGGCTGCAGAAAGCCTAGGTTTAGGCTGCCAAGTGCCTGGATGGGCGCTTTTTTTTTGGGGGTTTTGTTTTGTTTTTTTGGGGGGGAGGCGGATTATGGGAGGGTAGAATCTTTCCTAGTCTAGGACCTTTTAAACTAAGCTTTCAAGGGTAGGGAAACACGGGGGTCTTCTCAGACAAGGATGCACCTGTCAGTCTAACTCAAAAACAGAGGAGAATGCCATTCCCTGTAGCCCACTAGATACGAATGACCCATCTGCTGAGTGCCTTATGGCTGGGGAGATGTGCCCTTCTGAAAACTGAGGAGTTAGCTGCTGGGATGGGAGCTGGGCACCAGTCGCGTTAACGTGACTGCCGCATTCAGAGACTGGGAATCCAGATGGAAAAAATTTCAAGGAGAAAATTTTTTGGGGTATGATTAAAAAGGCCAGATTTCCTGTCAGCATCCTGTCTTCTTTTAATTTCAAAAGATTCCTTTTAAGCCCCGAATGACAGTGCAACCCATGATCGGGCGATTCAAGTCCCAGTGGCCTTCTTTTCCTCCCCTCCCCCACGAACTGCCACTCCCTCCCCCTCTAAACCCCAGGCATTGTGCAGGATTTTCAAATGTCACCCCGAGAAAGAGGCACAGTCTCTCTTTTCCCCCAATGTGAGATTCCTTAACGGGGCAAGGCCCTACTGGGTCAGGAATCCACCCAGGTGGAGTAGCACCCAGCAGCAGTTTTTGCACGCCCCTCTTCCTCCAGCCCATCCTCACGACATGTGTGTGATCTTCACGCCGATTTTTTAGGGGAAAACCGGCTGCTTTCATTTCATCTCTGCCTCTTTTTTTAAAAATTAAAAATAAAGAAGAAAACGAAACAGTTCCTGCCACCCAGTTGCAGAGAAAGATCTCTCCAGATAACAGCGGAAGGGGGTTCCCAGGTCTCAGCTAGGGGTTTGCAGGGGTTAAAAAAAAAATCTAAGGATTCAGCTTGGGGCGTGGAAGGAGAGCCACCCCAGCTGGGAGGACCAGTGGGGTGCTCCGCCAACGGCCCTATATTTGCAGTGGGAAGACCTGCGTATGAATTCTCGTCTTTGCTACTTTACGGCCTGTGACCTTGGGGGAGTCACCTTAACCTCTGTGGCCCTCAGTTTCCTCTATCTATAAAATGGGTGATGGTGGGAAGAAGGGAGAGCTGACCTAGAGAACCTCCAAGATCCCTTGCAGCCAATACTACCTAAATCTCTTAAAACCCGGCTGCCACAACTTCCTCTACCCCCAAACAACAACGAAACCGATCCTGCGAAATCATCGGGGGCTCCCCAAAGGTGGGGAGTCCGGTCAGGTCAGCCGTCCGAGGGGGGCGGGGCCGCTTGGCCCGGCGGGAGCGGTCGGGGCAGCGGTTCCCCCCTCCCGTGGCCTGTCCTGCGGGGTCGGGGAGCGGGAGGCACTCACCTTGAAGGCCACGGGCAGCGTCTTGTTGCAGCGCCAGTGCGAGGGGGAGCACGGAGCACAGGAAGTTGGGGCTGTCGGTGCGGACCAGCTCGCCCGCGTGGTCGGCCAGCACGTCCACCACCGTGCGCACCTCGGGACGGGCGCGCCCGCCGGGCCTGGCCGCAGCCGCCTGCGCGCTCAGCGCCCCGCTATTCTCGCCCATCTTGCCGCAGGGGAAGGCCGTGGAGGGAGGTGTGAAGCGCCGGCTGGTGCTCGGGTCTACGGGAATACGCATAACAGCGGGAGTCAGGGCGCCGCGGCCAGCGGCGGGGCAGCGGCGGGGGACTGCGCGGCAGGAGGCGCGCGCCCCCGAGGCTCACGCGGGCTCCTCCGGGGGCCGCTCTGGACAGAAGGAGGAGAGAGGCGCCGAAAAGGAGAAGCGGGCACGGCCGCGGCGGCTCGGGGCTGGCTGCGAGCCGGGGGTGCTCAGGAAATGCGCCCGGGGCGGGTGCGCGGCTCCTAAGGGGAAGCCCCGAAGGGGGACCCGCCGCCCGCTCCCGGCGCGCTCTGGGGGCCTCGGGGGCGGGCGCCGGGGGCCACCGAGTCGTCCCCAGACCACGGGGGGCGGACCGAAGGGGTGGCCAAGCCCGCCTCGAGGGCGCGGTCCGTTCGGAGCTTCCGAAGGGCCTCCCCAGGGGCCTGCAGCGCTGGCCCGGTGCGCGCGCCCTCCTCGGCCCCTTCCCAGACCCCACCCGGGCTCCTAGGGCAGCATGAGTGCGTCCCCTTCGGCAGGTTTCCCCCCACCCCCCGAGTCGGGGCGGCGGCGGTGGCGATGAATTCCGACGGCGGTGGGCTGAGTCCCGGGGCCTCTCCCCCACAGGGTCCCGCCGGCCGGAGCTCTCGGAGCCGCCAGTAGCGTCCCCTCCCCCCGCGCTCCCCGCTTCCCACAGACGTTTCGCCGACTCTGACACCAGCTAAAAAAATATATAATCAAGCGGCGGCGCCGCAGCCTCCCGGGGAGGGTAGTTACCCGGGGGCCCGCCGGGGGGCGGGGTCGGCCAGGAGCGACGGCCCGAACGGCCAATCCGTGTCGCCTGCTGGGGAAAGGCCTTACTTAAAAAAAAGAAAATTAAGAAAAGAAACCCAGCACGGAGGGGGAGTGGCCTGTCCTAGGCAAGCCCCTCCCCCGCCCCGAGGGTGTTGGAGCGCAGAGTAGGGGAGCCGAGGCTCCTCGGGGGTGAGACGAGGGGGGAGGGGGCTGTTTGCTCAATTTATTTATTTATTTGTTTTCTAAACGACCCAGTTAAAAACTCGAGCTTCCGAAGTCCCGGGAGGTTGCTTCGCTTCGCGAATCCTCCTTTCCTCCTTCCCCCGCCCTCACTTCAGCTCTCCTGCCCGGTGGGCGCCGCCGTCTGGGCCCCGGCCGAGTCTCCGCCGTGCGTTCCCTAGGCGCGCAGGCCTGGAGCGAAATTTCCCCCTGCGCCCAGGCTAGGCTTCCTAGAGCCCCCTGGATCCGACGCGTGTGTGTTGGGGGAAGTTAAGTGGCTGCAATTAGCGGCTGGGGCTTGAAGCTTCCGCCTGCCTTCCCCGACGCCCCAACCTATTCTGTTTCCCCTCCCCATTTCATACCTCCTTCCAAACTCCATTCTCTAACCTCTCCCCTTTCTCTCCTCGACGCCCCAACCTGCCCACCCTTACCCCACCTCCCATCCTCCCTATGCCCCCAAGAAATCCGCAAACCGGTGGCAGGGATTGTAGCAGCCAGACAGGGGCGGGGCGCGGAGCAAAAGAAATTTCAACAAGTCGCTGTTTTAAGGCTTGCTTTTTCTCTGGAAGCCGGCAGCCGGGGCAGAAAAGGAGACTTGGGAGCTCTTCGGCTCCGCTAGGGGCTCTCCAAGCCGGGGCCCTGGGGCGCCAGCTCCAGCTCTTTCCTGGGCACATCTTGGCGATCTGGAAAGCCCTTACATGGAAGAGAAAAAGAGACGGGCTTTCCAAGGCCACTGGTTTTGCGGCCTTGGGTCGGGGCTTTGCTTCCTGGCACGGGGCCCCGTCCTCCTTGTGCCCTAGGAGGACTCGCGGGCCCCAACCTCGAGACGACGTTCGTGGGGCCCCTGGCCAGACAGAGCCAGAAGGGTTGGGAAGGTTAACGCCCTCCGGTGCGCCAGGGCGCTGTAGACGAACCCTCTAAATCACTTAAGACACCTGGCGGGGACACCGCCCTTCCCTTCGTTAGCCGGGAATAGGAAGAATTCGGGTTGGGGGCCAGAATGACCCAGTTTTTTGCTTCATCTATTCACTAATCTTTCGTAGGCAAGTTCTCAGAAAACAATCTGTCCGTGGAGAGAAGCGGACCATTTTGGTGAGGGGACGTGGGTGCCAAGAGTTATCAGCCTTTAGTAAAGGGAGGTTTTTTTTTTTCTTCCCCCGGTTGGAAAGGGGAGTTTCCTCTCTCCAAACGCTTTTAGGAGCTAGAAGAGTAAGGGGAATCTCTATGGGGCGGCCCCACCTGAGCGTCGACGCCCGCGGTAGGCCACCCATACCCATTTGTCTAGAGCAACCAGCCTTACTAAGGCTGGTGTGAACACGGCCCGCGGGCCCCAAGTCTTCTGCTTTCTTCCAGGGCCCTGGCCGCGCGGGGAATGGAGAAAGTTAACTGGGAGGCCAAGTTATCAGCTATGCATTGCCGCCTGCCAGGGCCTTCGGAGAGAGCGGTCTCCGTGGCCCTCTGTTCTCAAACCCCCGGAGACTCGGCGCCTCTCTTCGAACCCTCCCCGGGGCTCAGGGTCGATCTTTGGGAGCGCCTCTGAATTACGCCTGGTTGCAGTGAATTGCAGGGAGATGGGGAAAAGTAGGCTTAGCCCGCGGAGGACCAACCTAGTCACTGCTCATAGAGGCCCGGGAAACAGCCCGGGATTTGGAGGCAGCGCATCTGGTTCAGAATTCTGGCTCTGCTGTTTGCTAACCTGGGCAACCTTGAGCAAGTTACTTGCCCTTTCTGAGCATCATTTTCCCCACCTGTAAAAGGATGGAGGTGACTAGCTGCTCTTTAAGGTATCTTTAAGATAGGATCGAATGTTAATTAGTTTCTTCTCTACCTCCTTCGCCGGAAGTGGCTCAGAGGCCAGAACCTAACCCCGAGCCTGCATCCCAGCTGGTCGCACCAAGCCAGGATCCCAGGTGGCTTGCAAAGTCCAGGAGGCCAACTGGGCATTGACCGAGGCAGCTCGGACTCCCGAGGGATTAGTAAGGCGGTGAAGACCTTCTCGCTATCAGTGCATTTTTAAGGGCAGGTTTTCCTCCTCTCCTTCCCTCCGCCTGCTCCGCCCCAGCGCGACGGGCCTAGCTAGGTACGTAGACCTCAGAATTGCAGGAAGGGCGTTGGGGGTGAGAGTAGGAGCAAAGTCTGGCGGGTGCTTGGACAGTGTAAGGACCCCATCCAAAATGAATTAGGTCCTTGGTGGGCGTTGTCACTAGCAAATCCTGCGTGGTGCACAAACCCTTGCGTCTGAAACAAGCCGGGTTGCAACCCTCCTCCGAGCCTCAGTTTCCTCCTGTGTAAAATTACAGAATTTCAGAATTTGAAAGAACTTGTCTAGTCCAGCTTGAACCTCAGCGGGGAGAACATAACGGACAAGAGATTAATTCCTCCGCCTCCACTAAAAACATGAAACTCCCTTTTTCCCGGGGCAGCCCCCTTCCAATTCTGGATGGATCTAATGGTTAGAGAAGTCTTCCTTAATCTGCTCTCACGGCCACCTCTTCGCCCACCTCAGTTTCTAGTTCTGCCGTGTGAGGCCCCCCAAAAATCGGTCTGATCCTTCTGACACTGGACGTCCCTTCTTTCAGTCACTATGAGAAAAAAGCCATCCTTTTAATAGTGCTTAGGCTTCCTGTCCCCCTGTTCTTTCTGCATTTTCTCAGATGCCACGGCTTTAGCACAGTGCCTGGCATGTAGTAAAAGCACAACAAATGCTTATTTCTTTATTTCCTTCCTTCCTCATCTGACGACAGGAAGACCTGAGTTCAAATCCCACTTCAGGCCACCGTTTTGCTGGGTGATACTAGGTATCATTTAACCAGCCAGCCTCGGTTTCCTCATCTGTAAATTCCTCACCAGATAATAGCACTTCCCTCTCAGGGTTTTTGTGAGGATAAAATGAGATAATATTTGTGCAAAGCGCTATATAAATTCTAGTTATCATTATAATAATTATTATCATCTGGGTCACCCTCCTCTGGTTGACCTCCAGGTTGTCAACGTCCTAAAGTGGCCCCCCAGGACTGGCCACAATACTCCTGACATGGCTCGCCTTGCCCCTTCGCCCTACCCGGTTGGTCTAACGGGATCCTCGGATCCCGCATATACTACAACGAGAACTGGAGAATTGGGGAACTGGGAAGAGTCTGGGTCGCTAATTGTGATCTGTCCCTGCGGACACGCCTCCCGGTGCCTTATTGGTCACGTGACGGATCAACTATTGTGACGATTAACCTACAGCAGAGTCACAGCATCCAAATCCTTTCACACCCGTATACTGCGACCAACGGCTCTGGGAAGCCGGAGGCCGAGCTCACGTAGTTATTCCCATGTTTAAAAGGTGGGAACTGAGCCCCGCCCCCCAGGGAAATGGATTGCTCAAGGTCACGCAGCCAATTGGTGCAGCTTTGGCTTCCCCTGATTCCCAGTGCAGGTCTCTCTCTAGGCTTGCAAGCGTGCACAGAGGCCCCTCATCCCCAGCAATTTCCCCGAGGAAACCCCAATTTCAATTTGGTAGAAAAAAGACATAGGGGAGAATGGGCTGGGCGGACGACAACCAGGCCGCTTTTCCCCTTTTAATATTTTCTTCATTTCTCTCTGTTACTTCTCCTCCCGCCTCCCCAGGCTCCAGCCGCAGCTCCTCCACGCATCCTCACGACCTGCAGGCCTCAGTTCGATCTAGCTCACGTTTCTGGAATGCCTTCTAATGTGCATAGACGCGTCTTCCCACCAACCCGCGAGAGTTAAGGCGCCAATTTTGCACACTAAGCAACCGAGGCTCAGAGAGGTCGAAGGACTTCTAGGTAGAAAGTTTCGGGTTTGGAACACATGTCCACACCAGCTCTCCTGCCTCCATCGGTAGGCATTCGGCTGGCTTCTCCAGACGTGCGGGGAAGTTACAAAATCCATTTCTCCAGGTCGGGCTGAAGACGGAGCGGGGAGGTGGGCTGCAGGGGGAAGGAACAGAACGTACAGGCTACCCGGGGTGAAAAGAGGCCTCTCCTCCTGCTGGTAACCGCGG